TATAAAAATAAAAGCAGTTATTGGCTAATGGGTTAATAGTTTTACGCTTCGATCGAATAACAGGAGAGTGAATTTAAATCCGATTACACTTCCATCGAAAATATTTCGTTTTAAGCGAATGATAGATGTTATCTAAGTCTGTACCCTACCTCGAAACGAGAACGTTTCTCCTTTGAACATTAAGAGGCCACGTATTTACCCGCGATTCGTAGGGGTGTGTATCGCGCCCCTGGCAATTAGACGCGCGCGCTAACGGAGAAAAGGATAAACGACGGGTCAAGGCGGCGCAATCTAATTCCGACCCCATGCAAATCGGGACCCTTAACTAGCTGACGTTTCAACCCTTGACACTCGCCCTCGTGGCGTCGTAACACAACCGAGGCTATCTTCCTTCGAGTCTTCGTGACTTAAATTAACCCCGTCGCATCGACCGTTTTCCGCTCCTCTTTTCTCCTGCGATACTCGTTATTCTCTGTGTTCCCAGGACCTCTCCTCTCTCCCGGGGTCAATTTCAACGACCAGGACGAAATTAGTTGCAGCCCGATAATGAAAAACATTGAAACAGACGTGACTAGCTGCGCTCGATTGCCAACGATTCCCAAGTTTTATCGTACTCGTTTACTGTACGCCCGAAACCGTTCGCGCGAAATTTCATTATTTCTGTCGTTGGTCAGTTAAAAAACACCCCTGTAAAAAGTAACTAAATTTACTCAGACAACAACTGCGTGCCTTAATGGATATTAGACTGTATTTGCATCTTCTGTATCCTTGAGAACTCGTGAACTAAGGTTACTCCTAAAGAAACCATCGATAGATTTCGACCCTGTCGTAAACAGTCCAATTCAAACACCTCTCGTCCTTCGATTCTTTCGTATAAACATTTTTACGATGAATTACAATCTATGTCTAGACCTACTCGTAAAACTCGATTCTCGAATCGTACATAAAACGTTCACCTTGACGAACGGGTGAATCGTACTTAGAAGAAAGAAACTGTTCAAATCGAGCTTCTGAAAGACTAGTTATCGATATATAGTGTTTGAAAGTGTAGCTTAGCACGACTAGTTTTCTCCCTGTCAACAGTCGTGTTAAAAATGAACGAGCAAAAATTGTTGTCAGCAGAAAACACGTGTAGAGCAGCCGCAAATTAGTAGTGTCCTTAGGCGTTGCGAGGTTGATTAACGAAGCAACAAGGAGGACGCTTGTCGGCGGATTACCGCGGACACGATGGAAAAGCCGGCGACAGGCGCGGGCGTTTCGAAACTGCGCGATTTTCCATTGGCTCGAGGTTGCTCGAAGCGGGATTAACGGCTGCTACGTGGGAAAGTCCTCCGATAATTCTTCGTCGAAAGGTTTGCGCGCGCGGAACGG